ACCACATCTTTTTAATCCAGTCATCTACTTTTGGGCATTTGAGCTGCTTCCATGTTTTTCCAATTGTAAATAAAGCAGCAATAAACACGGGGTGCAGATATCTTTTTCAATCAGTGTTTTGTGTCTTTTGAGTAGATACCTAGGAGTGGGATTGCTGGGTCGTAGGGAAGCTCCAGAGACATGATTAAATTGATAGGCAAGTTGAGACTGATGTCTGTGCACTGAAGGGCACCATAGAAAGATACAGATTTCCATAAAAGAAGAGATGGAATTCTTGCCATTTGCAACAGCCTGGATGGAGCTGGAGGGGATTTTGCTAAGCAAAATAAATCAGAAGGAGAAAGACAAATACTGGGTGAATTCAGAGAAACAAGACAAAGTGTCAGATAGAACCAAAACAATAATGAAGCCTAAAAGTCTGACTTTTAGATAATTGGGAGGGGAAAGCAAGTTTGGAAGGGACCCAGTGGACTGTAGAGGAGGACTGTGAGTGCCTGGTGGTTGGAGTGGTGCAGAAACACACATCTGAAGAGGTGTAATACCGCACCTCTGGATCATACAGTGATATAGATCAAGCTTTCAAAAAAGTTTCAGCAGGTAGTGATAATAAAAAGTAGATGAATCTTTGGAAGGATAGATAGATAGATAGAAAGACCAACAGACACACACATATGCATGTATATAAAGCCTTCCAGGGCCCTCCCTGGTGGCACAACAGGTTAAAGTGCAGCACTGTGAAGCTGCTTCCTTGGTGCAAGGAGTTTGACCCCTGCCAGGGAGGTGATCCACATCAGCAGACCTCTCCTGTCCCCTGCTATGTACTTTGTCAGTCTGCCTGTTCTGCTCCCCACTCTGACACTGGTGAACCCTCTCACCGCCCCTACACCTCTGGCCTATGCCCCAGTTCTGTATAAATAAATCTTTTTTAAAAAGACTTCCAGGGCCCTCCCTGGTAGTGCAGTGGGTTAAAGCACAGCACTGAGAAGCTAAAAGCCACATTAGCATGAGTTCAATCGCCAGCCCTGGAGGTGATCCACATGGCGCAGCACACCTCTCATGATCCGCCCGCTGCTACCCTCAGCAGTGTACTTAGTCATTCGGCCTGTTCTGCTCCCCACTCTGTCTCGGGTGAATCCTCACCGCCCTGCACCTCTGGCCTGTACCCTAGTTCTGTATGCATAAATAAATAAATCTTAAAAAAAAAAAAAGCCTTCCAGATCGAGGTAGATAAAGCTTAGCTAACTTTGACAGCTTTCTCCATCCTTCCCATTGCATATGTTTATAGTGATATTTAATAGTTCTTTTTTTGCAACAGATAATACTATCCAGGAGGGCTTAGATTGTGTCTCTGGTCTCTGCATTATACCCAAACACCTGATACTGCCTGGCACACAGCAGGCTCCCTTATATGTGGAGCAAATGAGCACATGAGTGCATGCACGACTAGTTGGTTTATAGGTGACCCTGGGGACCAGGGATTCCGCACCATCACCATGTAGCACTTTTTTCTTGTGAAGGGGACAGAAAAGGAACTGTGTCTTCCATAGCAAGGATGATACACAAGGCAATGAAAGTCCCTTTCCCAGAAGATAAGCTGCTGATTCTAGCAAAGGCAGCAATTTTGTAGCATTTGCAAGTTTCCTCCTACAAGTCCCTGGTTCCCAAGCGACCCTGGCTGGCTTTCTACACAGCTCCTCCTGCCACCCTGCTGTGTTCCGAAAGGGGTGTTACTTTGTCACAGGCCTGAGGCTTCTACCCCCACGTAAGGCAAGTGAAAAAGTGGTCAGAATTCCCTCTCTTTGAAACAGTCATCTGGGTTTTCATAACCTGGTGGTTACAAAACATGACCTGCATCCACCACAGTTACATGATCCACACCTGTTTAAGAGTCCAGACGTCTTTGAACTCCACCTTTACCTAGAGCTGGAAACAGCATTTCTTCTTTGGGTATCGCTTGGGTTTGATACTTGATTTGAACTAATAGGACATTAAAATCCTTGGACAGGTCTCTGGCTCATGTGGTCTGGTAAGTGAAGTTCTGCAGAGCAAGGGAGTGGAGTCTGCCCTGACTTGGAGAAGCCATGAGGTGGGTAGCTGAGAGCAAATCTCTTAAGTGGGCACCAGTAACTTCCCTCTGTCCTTCAGTGATGAGTCATTAAATAAAATGTAAGCCAAGATCCCATTCAAGGTAAAGCCAAAAAACATCAAATGCCTAGGATCAGACTATTTGAAATTAAGAAGACCCATTTTGAAGACTTTGGTTCAGATGTGAATAAGCTTCTGGATGCTAATAATGAATATCAAACACCCCTAAAAGAACAGGAATCTCTGAAAATGAAAGCAGGACGTGGATCAGAAGAACAGGAGGAAGAGAAAGTACACTCAGGATGTTCAGCGGCACCATGTGCATGGGGAACCCACCATACTGACCACAACAGTGCCTGCTGTGACACAAGTGATCACAGTCCTTGGAATTAGGGACGGCACTGTCCTCCCTCTCCAACCTGATGGGAGATATGATATATACTCTTGGAGTGTGTGAAAAGTATAGAATTAGTATTTAAAAAAAAGATTTACTTATTGCATACAAGAACTGGGGCATGGGCCAAGGTGCAGGGGGTGCGAGGAGTCACCAGAATGGGGAGCAGAACAGGCGGGTCTACTGAAACACACTGCTGCGGGGAGCAGCCGGTGAGACAGGAGCAGTCTGCTGCTCCATGTGGGTCAGCTCCCTGGTGGGGGATTGAACTTGTGTGCTGCAGTGGCTGCTGATAAAACTCTCAGAGTTTAACCCCTGCAGCACCAAGGAGGTCCGAATTAATATTTTTCACTGGGAGAGGTAAGCTTGTATTTGATAACCTGTCTTCCTTGTTTGTGTAACATGATTTGTTAGTAATGGGGGAAATAGCAGTAGCTGCTGCAGGTACTATTTCCCACCATTTATAAAATTTACTTTTTTATTGGAGGACTTTTTTTTTTGCATTAAATAATCTAGAATTCTTTGGTGGGGCATTTGCAACAGTTTTATAGCCTTCGTGTAAGGGGGAAAGCTAGCTGTAAGCCTGTCGGTGCCATATAAGATTCTGATAACACATAAGGGCTGGTTATTAAGGACCGACCTCCTTCGGAAAAAACAGCAATTAAATTTTTTTCTGACAAGATTTTGTCTGTGTGTTTCAGTTCTCCTTGGAGCTGAGAAAAAATACATTATTAAAATGCTATGTCTTGGGCCTTCCCTGGTGGCGCAACAGATTATAGCACTATGAAGTGGTCCACAGCCACTGCAGCAAGAGTTAGATCCCCAACTACGGGCGACCACATGTGGCAGGCCTCTCCTGACCCGCTGCTCCCTTAGGGGTGTGTTTCAGTCAGTCTGCCTGTTCTGCTTCCCACTCTGTCTCTGGTGAATCTTCTCACCTCCCCCACACCTCTGGCTTGGACTCCAATTCTGTATGCATAAATAAATAAATCTTTATAAATAAATAAATTTAAGAAATAAATGAGGCAGAGATGACTTCATTACCGTTAGCTGAGTTCAAGTATGATATGTGTAAAATGCTGAATGTTGCACACACAGGGTTACCAAGTAAAGTAACATGTTGCCATCTGAAAAATGTCTAGGCATCTTCCTCTGATTGTTGGGAACAAACTTCAACCTTCCTTTTCTTTCTTAAGTTGCAGTAGAAAGAGTAACAATGGCAACCCTGCAGTTGCTACTTTTTACTTCTGCACAAGCCCAGGCGCTTACTACCACCCACATCAAGGTATAGAACAAGGCTCTCAAGTAGCTCACCCCTCATCATCCCCCAGAGGTAACCAGGGTATGATTTCCATTTATGCAGAGGTTTGCCTGATTTTGAACTTCACTAAGGCTGGGAGCAGACAACATGTATGCTCAGTGTTTGGCTTTTTCAGTCATGGTGCCCGTTCACCTACCGTCGTGTATGTCAGGACAATACTTTTCTTTTTTCACTACCATTTACTATTCCACAGAGTGAGCCCACAATTTTCCTCTGTCCTACTGATGAACATTTGGGTTGTTTCCAGGGTTTTTCTATTGTAAATAAAGTCACTGTGACCATTTAGTGTGCTGCCTGTTTCTGAGTGGATGCACACCCAGGAGTGGTTGCTGGGTGATGGAGTTGGCATGTTTCGCTTTAGTGAGAACTGCCAAACATTTCCCCAAATCTTGTAATCAGTCTTTGAAACAGGAAAAACAAATCTATCTGGTAATTTTGAGAGCACTTAATGGGCCCCAAGGTATAAGACTTTAAGCCTATACCTTGAACACTTGGGTGCCGGGCAAGTATCTCTGCCCCAGCAGAGGAAGGGTACAGCGGTGGGCAAGCACTGTGGATTGTGCCCATGGGTCCTTGGGCCCATGTAGACTCAAGGCCCATGCCCAGCATACTGGGCAGGCCGATGTGCGGCACCCCTGTCCTGTTCCCAATTAGGGGTTCTCCCCAGCCTCCCCCCTCAATCACTGGGTCCAGCATTCACATTATAAGGCTGAGCACGCCCATCCTTGGGAAGCTTGCATGTCACCAGACCTTCACAGCAATAACTGTGTCAAGCCTTGGGCGTGCAGAAGCCAAGGATATAAAAATCCTCACCTCTCCAATTACTCGGCTGGAGGAAGGGGTGCTTCGCACAGGGACACCGGGGCCAAGTCACGATTCGGGGGCTGGTCCCCCACTTGTTTTCTAGTCTGGCCCTGAACTTCCCCTGGAAGTTGCTGGAAACTAATGAGGGAAGGAAATAACCTGCGCCTCCACAGCAGGAAACTAGGTCGGTGCAGGGCGCGGGTTCAGCGGCTGTTAACGCCGGCCAAGGACAAGCGCCC